CTCGGTGGCTTTTTGGGAAGGACCTCAACCTGATTCTGCTCTTTAGACAAATGCAGAGCTTCAGTGGAGGTGTGTGACGCTTCATGTGCTTTATTAGGAACAAAACGTGAGCAGGAGAAGCAGGAAAAGGAGGTCTGCCTGACACTGAGGAGGAATCTGCCCAAAGCAAAGAGGAAGTGGCCGCTCACCTGGGTCATGACATGTACCATCCGAGCCAAAGGGTGGCGGGTTATGCTGAGACTATATGGTCGTCCAGACAATAACCGGCTACTTTAGTTGAGAAATCTATTGATGTGTTCAGTGATGCGACCGCTGTATCGGACTGTTGGGGTGAAGAGGGAGCTGAGTTGAAAGGAGCTTTGAGTAGAGCCGCTGCTTCTGCTTCTCAATTGACATGAGCCAATTCAGGTGGCTCGGTGCCAAAGCGAAAGAAAATGGATTTCAATCGGACTTTCATGCTCAATAAATAAATAACCTTGTCTATTACGTAATTAGCAATTTGTAGTTTTTTAAAATTTTCTTAGTTTCATCATCTTTCGGAACTCCCTTTTGCTTCCGCAAGTTTTAGCCACTGTCTCTAGCTTTTTGTCTTTAATGTGTTTGTAAATCACTTTTCAAATTGTGTCCAAACCCCAAAATCCAACCAACACATATCACCAAAAATATGATTTGAATCAGCCCTAGTTTCTGCAATGCATTAGCTTAGATCTTATTTGCTATCTTACAAAAGTGCAATATACTTTTCTGCTTGGCGCGAACACTTTTCTTTAGTTTCTCACTCCTCTTGCATTTATTGCAGCCCGGAGCGTTGGACCCCCATGAGCCTTTCGGGTAAATAAGAAAAGTCTAAAAACATTGCATCGTGTATTTGGCAAAAGTTGAATTTCAGCTCATTCACAGAAAATTATGAGTGACACGCGCCTAAAGCAGTGAAATCAATGGGGCTCCAATTCCCCTGCTCATTGTGAGGAGCTATTAGCATGGACGGCTGCGGGCTACCACTACTGCAATTCGACAGTTATGTTATGTTATTTTTTTGCGTGTGAGCTCGGAGCGACTCTTTACATGGTTTTACATAAGCTTTATGTGACGGCTTAAGCAGAGTGGTTCAAACAAATGAAGACCATGGTGTTTATGGCTCTATGGATGCCTTCAAGGGCCAAGATACATTTGGTAGAGAAAAATGTACAGTAGGATTGTTTTCAGACATTCATAGCAAGAAAGAAAGAAAGTATTGTGTTTAGATTTTTCAGAAGCAAGGATTCAAAAGCAGGATTCAGTCCACTGTGAGGAGAATTTGAATCGTTTGACATTTGAGGAAACGTTAACAATAACTGTGAAAAAATAGGATTTGTTGGATTTTATGTCAGTCTTTAAAGTCTTTAGTATTCAGGAATAACAGTTTAGCAATTACATTTATATCTTTGTATTTATAGTGTGCTCCTTGTGTGCTCTTACTACTGTCCCATAAGTGCGCTAAATGTCCCCTCTGTGGTTCGAATAAAAGTTCTCTTATCTTAATCCAATTTAATGTATTTTTGTTCAAGCTCAAACCTCTGCAACCGCTGTGACTTTGCAGGACAATTGTTCAACAGAAATGTAGCAAATAAAAGAATCAAATGTTTTTTCTCTACATTAGATGTCTTTGAGTATAGTAACGCCTGAACTTACAGCCTTGTAGTGTTGACACGATGCTAAAATTACAAACTTGATTTTGATACTAATAAAAAGACTCAATGCAATTTCAATGCTATTAGGATGACTTTAAAACACATCTTTCTCACAATTTCTCAGGTGAAATTATATTCTTTACAATCACATGCCTCCCTAATTTTTGAATCTGAAAAAAATAAACGATTGAACTCCTCCGTATGGTGGTAGCATTGGGAGTTACAAGTAGAAAGCATTTTTCACTCTTCATACTTGTTTCATTGTATATTTTCTACTTAAGATTATTCATTATATAAAACATGAAAGGCCAAAGTAATTAGTCTCATTACAATTTTAATGATCAAAATTATGTATAATATTTCTTCTCTTGGTAAGATTAAAGTACAAGACTGCAGTAAGTCTGTCAGGATGAGTAATTACACCTCGTTAATGTAATATATTTGAAGCCACTTTGTTAAAGCAGCAGGATCCTCCACACAATGAATCTATCTAATAAATGCATATTTGGGAGCCAGCCTTATTTCTTTTACTATTTTGATGTGATTAACTGGTGAGCGCGCAACTAGGTCAGACGCACAACTACATTTGTTAAAAACACAAGTTGTTATTGCAGTAAAATTTAAATATGAATTATAAGAAAATCATCTAATTCTTGCTCTCTCTCTCTCTCTCTCTGTGCTTGTGGATTTGTGAATAAATTACTAAAAATACAGATGCCACAATAGCAGAAATAGGTCAGCCTTAAAGTGTCAACACTGGGTTATAAATAAAACTATATGTGTTTGAATTGTGCTAAAGTCGGACAACATTGCTACTTGTCAATCACAGTGAATGTTATTGTATTGTTTTGGGTCCAAGAAATAGTCAAAGTTCTTCCTTCAGGCTGATGAGAAATCCTGATTCTGCTTTTGTTAGAGATATTGTAAGCGTTTGTGTTTGTTGTGTCTCTTGTACTTGATATTGATAGTATTACTTGCGCATTTCATGGTTTCATTTGAAGGTGAGGGAAAAAGAAAGAATGGATTCAGGAAATACATTAGCTTTATAGACTTTATTGAATCGGGAAGCAACAGATGCTAACTTACTAAATCTGAAACTATAATGTAATGTAATGACAAAAGTAATACAATAATGGCCGTAATTAAGTTAGATCTATCTTGATTTTGGTAATGTTTTTCAGGCTTAAAAGTAATTGCTAAGAACATTTATGGACATTGGTGATCCCGCTCACTATGGACCAATTATTATTATTATTACATTTCCTGTATTGGAACTTTGATTCTCTCCTCTGTTGTTGGTGAATCGAACATTTTGTAAAGTCCTCTGAGACTTATGCTGTTGTGATTTAGGGCTATACCAAAATAAATTTAATATTGAATTGATTTGTCTGATTGTGGAAGAGTCGAGCAAATTCGCACTTGAAATGAGACAAAATAGCTACTACCCTTGAAGTAGGACATTTCTACTAGTCCTAATGGCAATCAATATGTACTTATATTTAGATTGAAGTACATTTAAGTACTTACCAAGCATTTACAAAATTTTATTTGATCATTGCACTATAATAAGCAATCATTAGTGTTAAAAAGTTAAAAAGATGCTTTATCAGTATGCGCACATCTGTATTAGTTTTCATAAGCGCTGCATGTCAGTCAAGTGAGAAATTTGAGCTGTTATGGCGGAAGAGCGATATTTAAAACGCTGTTGACTTAATGGCGTTTGGGGAAAGAAACGTGACGTGATTGAAAAGGACGGAGTGAGTTTTTCTGAGCAGAACGGTCCGACTCTGTGGAATCCAGCGCGACACTTCAAACGCCCGGGAATAGACCAAAGTCACTGGAGGGAAGTGATGTGACTGAATGATGGACCAGACACGGCTCAGCTCCGGTTCATAAAGGAGAATATATGATAAAAGCAGCAGGGGGTGAAGGAGAGGCATTTGGTCATTTAAAGATCAGCTGGAAATGGCTTGGTTTTCTTAGGTTACAAACACAAGAGTCTATATTTAAACATTTGAGTGTCTATTCTGCCGTGTTTCTCTTTATCGAGCAACAAATGTAAGTATATAGGGCTGGAATCGACAACTATTTTAAGTGAGCACCCTCAAGAGTTCCCATCAGAATCAGATTCATAATTCAATCTCGAAAGACTACACAGACAAAAAACACCTCTAATCACATGTTTTAATTATATTACTGCATCAAAATTATAATCCCCGGGACCTAGGCACTGGTGGTGGCATGAGGTTCAGGTACTGGTAGAAGCATAAGGGTGAAGTTGAGATGGAAGTATGTGTTAGAAGTTCGAGGAGGAGGCGGCCCCAGAACAACTCCTTGCAAGGCTTAGGAAAAGGGATTAGTTGTTGGAAGTTTCCGCTTTTAAACAGTTGGCTGAATTGGCGTAGGTTAGCATTGCTGTGTGATTGGCCGAGGGTGAAGGGCTGGCTTTGATGGGCTGCAGCAGGTATCCTACCAGATTGAATTTCCGCAGGCTGCATTTCTTTTTAATGCCATTGTGAGTAACAGGAAGTCACAAACTAGGAAACGGCTTTGACTCTTGGTGTAAACAAGTAATAAAAATGAAAATAGGACAAGGCATACATGACGTTTCTCATGTGGGAGAAAAATCAAGTCGTCTCAAATCTCGGAGCTCCAAGTTCCCTGTTTTTAGTTTCAAGCCTTCACACAAATTAACCAACAATTGCTCATATTTGTGCAACTCATATGATGTTTGGAAATTCTTATTTATTCAATGTGAATGTCAAACATCCTCTTCTACACGTTTTAGTCTGTGACAAGCCTCAAGTTTAGAAAGAATTAGTAAACTTGGAGACATTGATCTTTATGTATTCATCATTCAGGGTTTTAGGTGGAAAATACAATACAAGATATATAAATAATCAAAATAATCTCCCAAAAATACCAATTAAGACGCATCAACCAACATGTGCCACCTCTCAGAGTGTGAGGCTGTGAAAACTTACATTCATTTGATATTTTAGCTCGAGGTGATGTTGGGTTTCCTGTTTACTGGGATTGGTGAATCTGTCAGTTTTCTAATTCATAGTTATAAAAATAAGTATTTAATTAATGACTTAAACACAAGGTTCTCAGATTTTAAAAAACAGGAATATAGTTGTTGAAAGAGGGAGTATTATTACCAAGGATAACTTTCTTATTGCTGCCATCCCATTGCAACTATTCATCTACAGAAGTGGTTCCAAAAGTGCGGTCATGGGACACTAACCTGGCGTCCCGAGTTGCTCTGATGCTCAGTCTCACCATCACTATCCACAATATTCATGTTTCCTTGTTTTCTCTTTTGTTCAGGCCATTATCTACGAAGGCCAAGACAAGAACCCGGAGATGTGCCGAGTGCTGCTCACCCACGAGATCATGTGCAGGTACAAAACTACACAATACAACACAATACAACACAATACAACGCAAGAGAATGCAGCTGAGAGGAAAATGTCCAAGAAGAGGTATAAACAAAACACCTTCTTCTTATGATAGACAAACTTTTAGTAATATATTCAAATATTGTATAATTGAAGGCACATGGTTGTAAAGAATGCCATTTGACCAGAAAACCTGTAGTTGCCCCACAGTGAGGAAATGTCAGTTTTGCAACGCACATTTCAAGAACAGTGGCCATTTAGCACACAAAATAACAGGCGATACCAAATGTGACATACCAGTCCTCAAAGGGCCCGTATGGCTGCAGGTTTTCATTCCAACCAAGCAGGAGTACACAAGAAAACACACACTTCCTTACTGCTCCGTATGTTCAGGTTGATATTGTTGTACAAAAAAAAAAAAAAACAAACAAAAAAACCTACAAAAGATTGCATAATGTGTGTGCAGTAAGCTAACTGAAGCTTCTATAACGTCCAAAGAGATTCTCCCTGATGTACACAACAATACAATACACCACACCACCACCCTCCCCTTCTGCTCATCCCCACTTTTTTTTTCTTACAAAACTATTTATTCATTTGGAGAAACGTCCTACAAATCATCGGCCCGGACTGGATGCATTTCTTATGATGTCACCCTCGTTAACCCCCTCCCCACCCGTTTGTGCACACAACGCAGCTACGCGCAGTTGACGAAGATGAGTTTTAGCTTTCAGAGTGCTCCCTTTAATTATAATCTAAAGATGAATTTTCTGGCGAGAAGTAGGTTGGAAGGAGTGACTATTTATAGAGGCGTTTTACCCAACCTTTCCTATACAATGTGTGTGACGCCTGGTTAATTAGGACACAGAAGAAGTCATTAGTCAATCCCAACCCTCCTGTAGTTTTAAGCCTAACAAATGGGTCTTCCCCGGCAATCTGACTATAAAATATATGCATCCCGAGTTGCCTTTTTTCACGCAAATACGGGCACACACTGAAACATATGCACGGACACACTCACAAATGCACACGCACGCACAACGCAGTGATAAAAATTCAAATTTAGCACATGAATTAAGTTGTTCGTATTTCCCTGACCTTGTCGCCGAGCAACTTTAACTATAACCATATAAATCGGGGTTCATCTATATGCACAAGCAGGGATTTAAGGCCCAGAATCAGCACCAATAATATTTTATACTGGAGCGAGTTGCGCAAGCCGCTTCCACAACCACGCAGTGTTGAAATTCTGATTCGATTTACTGGAGAATTTATAACTAATTGCGTTTGTGTAGAAGTTATACTGTAAGTTATTGTTATTCATCTTGCATTGAAATGATTTGTGGACTTGCGTTTTCGCATAAAGCCAGATAACACACTACCTATGCATCTATACTATACATTTTAAAGCATTTTCCAGTGGGTAAGTCTTTCTAAACAGTAGCTTTTTTCCCTCTAGAGGTCAAACTCTTGGCTGTTTTCTCACTGTTGATGCTCGGGGGCCTCTTGCACAAACACAATTCTACACACAGCGCACACACGTACACCGGAGACGCACAAAAAGCCCAGCATCCATTAATCAGTGTGGTTCATTGTCAGGAGGCTGCTATTAGCCATATGCTCCCAGCCAATATGCCACCGCTGCACCGTGTCTCCAGACGGGACGGGGAGAGCGTCATATGAACAGGGGAACTGTGGCTATAGGGCAATATGGAGGGAAAATGAAATAGTGATCGGATTCCTGTTGTAAGACTGTTATGTTTTATGATACGTTTATTTGTTGAAATGTTGAAGTTATGTTTGACTCTAGCACTACGCAACTTTCCATCCACGTATTAAAGAAATCGCACAAGATCCTATTCCACTTATGTGCGCGACATTCTGGCAAATGTTATCGTTAAAAGAAAAATAACAAAAAGCACTGTATATTGTTATTTGGCATCAACAACAAAAAAACAATGATAATAATAAAATGCATGAATAAATATATCTTGCAAGATCTCATTGTATAGTCAAAGATGGTGCTTTTGTGCCACTGGTGACCGTAAAGCAGGCAGAGGTGTGTTATGTATTTTTAAAGTATATATTTTGAAGCAACAATACCAACAAATAGCAGGTGAGGAGCCAAACTGTCATGGTTGCTGCCCATATTTGAGTATATTGTATTGTAGTCACAATTGTAAAAGAAACTGTAAAACAACAACATTAATAATGTTGCATATACAATTAAAATATCTGCAACTTTCCGCTTTTTCCATCTTAATGTTGTTTTCTCTCAAATAAAAGGACAAAACTATCTATCATTTAGACTAAGTCTGAACATAAGGCAATGTCTGAATCACAGACTGTATATATTATGAGTGGACTGGCCTAGCGCTGATGTCAACCTTAGCGTTAGCCTTTACGCAGAAGAGGCAAAGTAAAAGTCAACAAAATCAGAACTCACATTGACAAGAAAGCACCACATACTTTCCTCTTTTCTGGCTCCAGTGCTCTTTCATATACTATTTTTCAATCATGAAGTTGTTTATATGATAAGGCACAAAAGAACCATTTCCTTTTTCCATATACCAACCAAAGTCTCCCATGTTTGTCATAGAGTGCAGTGTTGTGGTCTGTCTTTATCTAAACAGACATTAGCAGCAATAAAACTTCCACAAGTGTTAGTATGTTATGGCTCAAGAGCTGAATAAACATTTCCCACACATTTCACTCAATGATTTCAGCTTAAAACATGGACAAGGAAAATATAGGAAAGCAACACAAATAAATAGGATAGTGTAATAAATATGTTAACAAAAACCTTATTGTGTTTAGAATAACATGTTTGAGCGACTCACTCCAGCAACAGTGGTCTACAGTTTATTCTTCCTCCCAGATTCACCCTCTAAAGTTTTTTGTTGTTGTTGGCAAAATAAACACAATTTTTAAAATAACTTTCTCCATATTTCAACTGTCCTAAAGCTATAGACTAGTGTTGATTCTAAATATGATCCTTAATATGTTTAGAAAGGTCTGTGGCTTTCAAAATGCTGAACCCTGACCATCCATGTATCAAAGAAATTGCACTAGATCCTAATCCACGTATGTGTGCAATATTGTGGCAAATCAACAATCAACAATAACAAAAGAATAATAATAATAAAATACACAGATCTCACAAATCTACTCCCATCCCTAATTGTAACTATTAATACAACTTTCTAGTCTTTACCATATTGTAAAAATCAAGCAGTTCAAAGATCATACTAGACACATCCATATGTTCCAGTCTTCTCCTGTGTCTCTGTTGAGTCTTTATTGTCTGAGTGTGAGAGTGGGGTGTGGGCTGGAGGAGGGGCCGGGGGGTAGATGGAGTGGGGGGGGGGTCATTATTAGATCACTGAGATCCACTGCAATAAGTGCTACATTACCGTCGTCTCTCCCCAGCCACTTACACCATCCACACCATCTATCCATCCACTGTTCACCCCCAATCTACTCACCCGCCTCTCTCTGCTCTAATCCTACTACAATATAGGGCAAACCAGTCAGGGTCCCAGTGCTGGCAACGCTTTAACAAAAGTCACAATTCTCTAGTCTCTCATTTGGACCAAAGTTGATAAATCTCCATGATAAATGAACAAGTAGCAATGACTTTATAATTGCACAGACCAAATTGTAACAAAGATCTCGGTAAAATCCATGTAACTAGTTCTTTGCTTTCAAAACAGTTTGGTTTTCAGCTATTTCAAACAAAAAAGTGAAAAAAGACTATCCAAACTCTCTTCGGCCATCCGCTCTCAGCTCAAAGCAACAAATAGTGACTCACAGGGCTCCTTCTAACAAGATTCAGATTCAGATTCATTTATTTGCCATTTGCAGTAAAACCACATTGGAAAAACTGTGCAAGACTACCCCAGTGTGCACCAGACAGAGAGGACGGCACACACCAGAGCTCTTGCCTTAGCAATCATAACATGTTTTCTAAAGTGATGAAAGTGATGAAAACTGCAAGTTGAGGTCTGATTTTATCCCAATATCTCCCCTTACAAGACCCTTCTCTGTTGGGGCAACAAAAAAAAAACCTTTTTGTGGCCAGTCAGTCCTCAGAACGTTTTCAGCTTTCAATCAGTCCACGTTGTTTTTCCTTTTTATTTACATATTCATAATAGTTTTTGACTACCACAAGTTATAGGCTGTTTACTGTATAACAGGCAGAAACCTTTTATGTATTTTTAAAGTAAAAATGGAACCCGCAAGATAATTACAGGACCCTTACCAACAAATTGGAGGTAAACAGCCATGGTTTCTGAGTAAAGAAGAAACATGAAATAAGTAAATAAGGTATTATATTGCATATACAGTTCAAATACCTGTGTGCTAATTGTTAGTTTTACATCTAATGCTGAACTTGAACCTGACCAAAGCTGGATTTCCACTCCAAATGATATTCCAAAATCAGGAGAGAAATAAAAAAAAAAAAATCTCTTGTAAAGTTGTTCCTTCCACCTGGACATCGTACGTTCGCGTGACCTAGTTCGCAGAGAGGAAACACGAGGGATCCCAGGCCAAAGCGAAGCCCAGTTGGAGACAGAAGAGACAATGCTTTTGGTGTAACCTATCTGTGTCTTTCTTTTTTGCACCATCTGTGACACTGGGAAACCTGAACCCTTTTCCTCTCACTCCTCCCTCCCCCATAAACTCCTCTCTGTTGTAGCTTTCTCCTCCACCCACGCTACAACGCTCTCCGCTGCTTACTGCTATACATTATTGATGCGAACATGAAAGGCTTTTTGACAAACTTGTACATGTGTGATGATTTTAGGTGCATGTGTCTTATGTCTACAGAGGCTCAAAAATGTAACAAAAAAGATTAGGAAAAGTTGAAATATTGGTAAGGTTGGTATTGGTACCATCATATTGAGCTCAACACGATTGATCAACTATGAAAAATAGGCGTTATTACCACATATTGTATATTAGGAGTAGTGCGTCTAACGTCATCTGTAGCCTTAATGCGGAAGAAGCCAATTTGACCATAAGCTAGCTGGAGCAAATTTCCTTATATGGGCATTTCCCCCCCGCTGTTTTAGCTTCAGGCTTTATCAGGGGCAAGGTTGTTTAGGCTGGATTTACAAAGACAATATTTACCCTTTAAACACCAGGATCATAGAGATCGCTAAGCCATAGTTCTTTAGCCCACAATGGTGTGAATTGTGATTGTGACACAAATAGTTTGTGAGTGATAGGAGTTTACTTTTCATTTTAAGTCAATAGGAGCAAGAAAATATGTCTGTGAGCACTTCCCTATTGGGTTTCATTGAGCTTAGCGGTTAGCAAAAAAAAAACATAACCTTTATTAGATTGAATTGTGTGAAAGTATGAACCATGCCTGTTTTATCTCTATCTAAGCTGATATAAGACTTCAAATGTATGCTATGACAAATGTCAGACTTTTAGAATGAAAAGTATTGCCTCAAAATTAGTGCCTTACTGCCTGCCTTCAACCGCATGTTAATTGTTTATTATAATGGGAGAATCTAATTTCGTAATTTCCTAGAATAAAAAAAACAGGACTTAAAGCAGGGGTACCAAACTTTTTAACCACCAAATAGTAGTTTCTAGCTACAGTATTATTGCTAGTTTTCCTATGCATTTATTATTTGACCTCTGTAGCTCAACTTTTTAGAGGGAAAAGTGAAATTGAAGTCCACTATTGCACCAGCTCTCACCTCAAACTGTCAAATAGTGCCTTTCTTACATGTATGGACAAGATAACTATAACTAAGATAATGATTTCTAATAAAATACTGTGGTCTGAATTGTGTGGTTGGTTTTAGTAACAAATTTTGACTTTTACGAGGCAAATTTTTGTTACGACAATGGGAAAACATGTTACTCTTTAAAAAGCTTGCTACCTTTGACATAACATTTACTGAGATAAAATATTGTAAAACTTAACTTGCACTAAGCCCAGAATAAACATGGAAAAAGCCGGACTAGACCACTTAAACGCAGCAGCAGAGACGTTGCAGCTCATATGTTGAGTGTGTCGTTCTGAATCCCACCCTTCCCTTGTCAAAAGCCTCAGGCCGTCTCAGGTTTCCAGCTCGCTCTGCCTTCTATTGAATCTGACAATTTCAGAGGTACCATCGGGACCAAGGCGTTTAGTAATATTTTTCACTATTCTTCATAACAATCCATGTCTTCAGGCGTCTCCTTTTGTCAGTTTGAAAACACCACACACTGTAGTTGTATGTGTGATGCCAAATCTTTTGTCCAACAAATCTAAACTGTTGATGGAATAATGCAGAATTGGCAATCGCAATTTTGCAGACAATGAAGATGTTTTTAGCGTTTAGATCATCAGCGTCAGACGTAATGTTTTATGTAGATCACAGATACAATTCAATCTTCCTTTTTCATGTTTTAACAATGGCAGTTATGCTGCAAGACAAAAACTAAAGCAAAAAGTATATTTGACTGAAGCAAGACATGATTCAAAAAGGTGAATGTGGTTCTTTGTAATAGTTTTCCTAATCTCTTAGTACCTTTCTATAGAAAAGAGATAGAATAAGACACATACAAGTTAGATTTTTATCATCTACAGGACGATGGCTCGCAGCTCTGTAGCAGAAACATGTTAACAAAGTAATACATCTAACTTCTTTTTCAAAAGAACCACAGAAAACAAAAACAAAAGATAAGAGATTAGGAACAATTACAGCAAAACCATGATCAAAAAACACTAAAATAGGCAATGTTGTGCTTTTGTCTAATATATATTACTATGAAAAATTGTACATAGTTAATTCATTTTTAACACTCAACGGCTCAATACTTATCCACAAGAAAATAAAGAAACTACCCTGGCATATTAAACCATAGAGTGCAAAAGGTTACACTGTTAGAATAATCGCTCCAACCATTTTGAGAAAACACTTTTATTATGGTTAAAGTTAAGTAGAAATTGTGTTTTGATCCTTAATGGCTTGTAATTGATTTTTTTTTCTTTTTTACCAGTGGATGAATGAATCAAGTTGTTTATTTCAGAACATGTACAACACATTTGGAACAAAATTCTTAGAAAACAATTCACAAATCAACACTAGAAAAGTAACACAATAGCGGTAAAAGGCACACGCACACACTGGCCCAAACACTCTCTGACCCAACACCCCTCCCCCATTATCCACTCCGTCCTGAAGGCATAACTCCCATTTCTCTAGATACTTCTTCAGACCTTTTTTCTTAAACAATGTCAAAGAAATGTCTTTTTCTATGCAATTTCAAAAAAATCTTCCATTCGTTTCCAAATGACTCTTGACCTGAACAACCACAATGGTTGATTCAGTAAAAAGTGCCTGTCAAACCTAAAACAAGCCTCAGCGCTCTTCCTCATGATGTAGTGTCTTATGTTATGTGCTCAGGCTGTCATAATTGATGGGCCTTTCACCTCATTACATCTTAATCTAAAGTTTTGGTTCATAAATCACCTCAGCAGCTGGCGACTCCTTCCTTAACTGCCGATCGCTTCACTTTCTGTGTCGTACAAATCTATTTTTACCCGAGCTGTCACACTGCCTGGCACGGCGCACTCCCTTCACTAAAACCTTGACAGTTTTGATCAATGGCTGTGAATTTGGCTATGCACCCCACATCAGCGCAGATAAAACGCCACTCTCCCATTTAAGCAGTGAAATTTGAACCTCCGTATTATGCTCTGTCTATTATCCTCGGCTAACTTTCTTCTTCCTCCTCTGTCGTGTCTTCCTGTAGTCGCTGCTGTGACAAGAAGAGCTGTGGAAACCGTAATGAGACGCCTTCAGATCCGGTTATCATCGACAGGTACGGAGCTAACCACCGTAATGTCTGCTGTATGCATATGAACACATGGGGAGCGATTATGGCCTGAACAATAAGGTGTTGTGACAAAAAGATGACATCTATAACCTTACAAATGTTTCTATAACTCTATAATGTATCCAATAGAAATTTGAATTCACTAGCAATTTGTAGACCTGTTCATTGACCTCCCCTTTAACTCTCCATCGGGATAGTTGACTTTAAAGTTTCCCATTTTGTTCAATGTACTGTATAATCAGTGGGTTTAAGTGAAAATTCGAATGCTGTCTGTATGCGTCATGCTAGATCAGGGGTATCCAAACTTTCCGATGTATACATTCTACATGGGTTCAACAGCGCTATAATATTGTTTACAAAGAATTTAGACATTTCTCTTAGACCTGTATCCGGTGTATCTGGTTCTATTGCAGTTAAAGAGGTAGAATTCCTCTTATTTTTAGTGTAAAGTAAGGTCTATGCCAGCAGTGTTATCACTGTCAACTAAAAGGGGGTTTGACAACATTTCCCAAAATTAGTTTTCCTATTTTGAAATCAAATAAACTCACGAGACTTTGGGGAGAAAATCATCCAACAAATGTTTTTAATAATGTATGGAAGGATGATTGACACCAAAATGGGTAACAGTTGGATCTAGCTTGAATATCAAAGTGAATGCCAAAATCCTAAGACAATTTGCTTCATGTCTTCTGATTTTCCTTGTCATTTAAATAGAATAATAGCAAACTAACACAAACGTCGGTCGACTAAGAAAACCACTCAAGACAACAGCCACAAGTGAATCACTAGTGACCAGTGATGGGAATAACGGCGTTACTAGTAACGGCGTTACTAACGCCGTTACTTTTTTCAGTAACGAGTAATCTAACTAATTACTTTGACAGTAACTATAACGCCGTTATCATTTCCGACATCCCGTTACTGCGCGTTACTCAAGACGCACAATGAACGTGTTGTCATGAGAGAAGGGAGGATGAGAAAACCTCTCAGCAATTATTGGCTGATGTAAATCATATTTCCTTTACAATCCACATGTCTACAGTTGAGAGGATGGCTCATAAATTGTGTTTTTGAAACAAATATGGGTCTTAATCGCGCTCAACCACGGCTTGTATCACCGTGAGGTCAGCCACAGAGGAGCACATGTGAGCGCAGAAGTCGGCTGCATACAATTCCATCGATAAGCTCCTTGCTCTTCCTGGTTTATCTGCTAAGGACAGCAACAGGTTTGGCTAACATACATATAACACATTTTTACATAATCTAAAATGCACATAGGGTAATTTTTCAATTACTATAGGAATGATAAGAAAGAGAGGTGAAGTGTAAGACGGTTGATTTTAGAAATTGGATGCAGCCGGCTGCAGCAAAACAGAGGAGTTTACGGAGGACACACGCGTTTTGTTTTACTTTTTAAAACTCATTGGACTCATTTCCAAATGGAGGATTACATATCTACGCTCAAACCATTCACTGGATTTAAACAAGGAACTGGTCTGAACCGAAGTGGACTGTGCAGGTCATTTATAAGGTATAGCTATAAGGTAAGACCCATAACTCATAGTTTTGCGTTTTGTATGAACAAACAATGCGGGCATAAAACATATTTTGCTGTAGCCAAACAAATTGTCCACTTGATTTATATGATGTATATGTTCATCTGATTGGACTGAAGTCAGTGCTTCACCAGCCTCACCGCTCGTCACCGGTGTTTCCACATTCACAGTGGCGGGCTTTACAGCACAGTGAGAGATGAAGAGTGAACAGGACTTCAGCAGCAAAACAGCCTTTTCTAGATGGAAATATTGGCACTGTTAAAGGTAAAAATGCGCACGTCGGGTGCACATTATGTTCCAGAACAAAACGAAAAAGTAACGCAATAGTTACTTTTACTGGTAACTAGTTACTTTTATAGTGGAGTAACTCCGTTAGTAACTCAGTTACTTTTTGGGAGAAGTAACTAGTAACTATAACTAATTACTTTTTCAAAGTAACGTGCCCAACACTGCTAGTGACCACCGAATTGTTGCAGGCCCATGTCGTACGGTTGGGCTCAGACAGACAAGGCAAGGAACAGGTTCTGGGCAATGTCTACCTTTTAGTGGTAATATTACATTGCATTGTTGAAGTTTGGGTTTTGGATGTGTTTGGATTGCTTTCTATTGTTGTCACACAAATGGACTTCGAAAGACTATGAAAGTTTGAGATTCATTTGTAAATATTGGATTGATACTTAACACAGGACATGTACATAAGAGCGTTGGAGCTGTCCTGCAATGTTTTAGAACAAGGATCAGGCTCAATATGTTTTTATTTATAACTGTGGTATTGAAATATGTATTTACTACTTTTTCTGTTGGTGGTCAGTGTCTCAAACTGTCTTTGATGGAACATGCATTACTTCGGATAATGACTGAGATTAACAATTTTGCTGAAACTACTTTTATGTCTCTGATGCAAGAAGAATACAGCAAAAGTAATCCTTGTAAAGCAAGTTTTGGATTTGTCAATTTCATTAGAAAGCTTGCACAAGAAAAGAAACAGCAGAATGATGTAATATTTAGTCTTATGAAGTATTCTACATGTAAATCGCAACAATCTCTCCACTTTAGCAAAGAAAATGTTCAAACAATAAATATTCAGGCCCCAAGTTCTTACATAGTAATTATCAGGGATACTGTAGGCCGAGCTATGGCTATCTATCTATCATGTCTATCTATTTATTAATCAATCAATCAAGCATCCAACAATAACTACAGTGATTGCATTTGAGAAAAATCAGCGATAAAAACAAAAAAATAATACTTATGTACGCGGAACAGCACTCAATTAAAGTTTTAAGAGTAGATATGAAAACGTCAATTGAAGCGATATGCCTAAGATACAGTAGCAGACCAAAGCTTAGGACTGCAACTGAGACGGAGAGGTCCACTCTGAGTTTCCGTCCTCAATGAGACCAGCCGACCTCAGACTCAGAGTGTCATATTGTTAGAGTTGAGTTAGAATGAGTGGCTGCAAACTTACATTCCACCAGTCTTGATGTGTCATGTGTAAAACAAAGCCGTATTCTACCTGTGTGTGTGTGTGTGTGTGTGTGTGTGTGTGTGTGTGGGTGTGTGTGCACGTGTGTGTGTGTATGTGTGTGTGTCTTCTCTGGAGGTGGCACTGCTCTTCCCTTGTCTCTCTCTTCGGCAGCCACAGAAAAATGGGTCATGAGAAAAAAGTGAAACGAGATCCAGCCTCATTTTAATCTGATTTGGTCTTGGCAGTTGTTTTAACCCTTTGTGAGCCGCGGCGTCTGATGGAGAAGGAGAGAAAGTGCTGATGTTGTCACCGTCATCACATCCAGGGGAAATAATCAATTCTGCTTGAACCAAGAACTAAAAAGCTTCTCTCAAAAGAAGCTTCAAAACCGTTGTAAATCAGATTTCTATAGAGCAGGGTAGAGGTTGGATATCGTCCTGACTGAACTTGTTTTCAGCCTTGTAAAATTAGAATATAGTGTTTCAAATCTATAAAAAAGTGCAACAAAGCATAATATTCTTGCACCTTGTGGATCATTTGATTTTACAGACACACAATGATACCAAATTAAAATCAATCAATATTTACATAGTTTCTTACAATTGACCATTATTTGGATAATCTAGTGGGGTGATAATTCTTTCAACTTGTCGATTAGTTTAGAACCATAGAATAATGGATTTTTGATGAATTTGAAAAGAACAAAGCTAAAGCAAGGCCACTCGAGAACTCCCCAAAGACTGGATGTAACATAATTGCTTGTTTGATTAGAAATACTTTTTTTTCTAATCAATTTCTAATTATAGCTCCGAGTCATACGACATTTTCTAGTCTGCAGCTGTTATTATTGACCTTTATCTACCCAGGAAAGTCCCACTGAGAGTTCAGAATCTCTTTTTCAGCGGAGTCCTGGCCCCAGATCAAGGGGAGCTATTGTACATGTTTATAATACTTGGGGAAACCGCAGCACCTGGAGAAAACCTGCTCAGAAAGCCCCCTGGCTGGAGGTGGAATCAAACCCAGGTCCTTCTTGCTGAGAAGCGAGAAAGACGAATCTATGAAACTAAATTTTCAGTTTTTTAACACTACTGAAGCCAATATTTGTCATTGTACTTTTGGAACATAATTTGGTTGTAGCTGTTTTTTAATTTATTTCTGGACATTGCTTTACATTAGAAACATAATAGAGATTCAACTGTATTTAAATCAGACCAAAGAATCAACTTCATAATGATACAACTATATATGAAGCAAATTTCAGTCAACTTTTGGCCTCATCCTTTGAGAAATGGCTCCTGTGGCTCAAAGAATAGACTTTAAAGCAAATCTGTTTATCCACGGCCTTGCCTAATGTTGTTGTGAGGGCTGTGCACATGACTGGAGTAGCTTACATTTGGAAGACCCATGCTCCAGCAGCTCATAGTGTATATTTAACCTTTTCTAAACCTTTGCAAACTTTCTGGAGCAGACTAAAGATAGCTGAACATTTGGCTCAGGGTTATTAGTCCAGGCGCATTGATTGGACTCCAGTTTTGGCAGCAGCGCTGTGTTTCGTCTTCGCAAGACCTCAAAGAGTTTTGCTAAAAGTTCAATACTGCGTTTTTTTCTGAGGGCAAACGCAAGAACGCTTTTATTTTGTACACTATCATACCCAATTTAAGGTTTTGTCAATTTGACGACTGGGCTCTATTTCTTACCTTGACCTATAGACACATACACATGGCGCTGTCTTTCGTGATAATATGTAAACAGGACTTTTCTCAAAATCATTTCAATTCAAAGCCCGTAAATTCCCATTTTTAGCTCCAAGCACTCTGCTCTTTTTCCGCACTTCTTGTTTTGTTGTTTAGAGGGTTTTTTCATGAAGTGGGTAAACGTTTGTGTCTTAAAAGACGCTTTGAAGGGGGAGATTCAAAAGCTGCAGTGAGCGGTGATGGACAGGTTAGATATTGTGTATTATT